TCAAGGCAGCATATGTGCATTATGTCAACTTACCTCTGAGTTCAAAAGAAAATTTGATTCTAAAAGGACAAGGCTGCAGGAATGTTATTCCAGTCTACTTCCAACTTACTTAAATAATTCATATTGTTGGGCTGTTTCTGTGATTTTATTAATTCATAAAATGATTTTTTTCTTAATTGATTTACCATATGAATAAAACGTAAATACTCATTGTTTTCAAATGCGAAGTGTCTTCCATATCAAATGTGTTTTAGGCAGTAGAAACGTCATGTAAGACACACCTACTTGACTATTCTGCTTCTGCCAGAATTTTCCAGTGAGAACATCACTAGCAATACTTTAGGCTTTTATGATTCTTTTTAAGTAAAGGAATTTTTGGAAGCATCTGTTTTGTTCAAACACTATTATGTTACTACCTGCACAAGAAACCAACTAATTTATTAGTTGTTTTAGAAAGTGTTATTGTAACACATGTGAGTAAATTTTTTTCCTTAAGGAATGCAACTGTTAAATATGTTCTAGTCTATTAAACGTTACTGTAGTTCACTTTTTAAAATGATTCTTCAGCTGCATTCAGACAAGGATTCCTGTATCCCTTTTGTCTTCACAGGTCTACTCACAACAAATTATTGTTTAATGAAAGCTCACTAGTTCCTAAAAATATTTTAGTACATATGAGTTATATCTCTTTTTACGTGAAATGGACACAAAATGGGGTAAAAACAAGTACTTCCAAATATTATCAGAAAGCATAGCAAAAGATACTTCAAGCCTTATTTCTGCTCCAGGCCTTAGTCATGGGGTGGAGGTAGTCCTAATCGGTATGGGAGGAGTTCTGCAGTCACACAACCGTGACTGTGGCACATTAACGAATGTACACTTCACTAAACAAAGCTGGTGGCAGTGTAGAGCAGGGCAAGGCTCTTCAAATTCCTGTGAGAAGTCCACACCTATATAGTTGTGAAAATGAACTGCAAATTTCAGGGTACAGCTACCACCTAATCTGCTCCCTTTGAAGTCAAGAGAGAACGTGTTTTATTTTTTTCTCTAAACAAATGATTGGGCTCCCATAAATATGAAGTATTTGCACAGCCATTTATTCTGAGACTCATTTCTTGTTCTTTAAAGAGAACATATTATTCAGTAATTTTAATGTAACTTTAAAAGGCAGGAATTCTCAAACACTTTCCACCAAAATACGTACCATTCTTGCTGCTTTTTACAGCTTTCTGCTTGCAAGGCCATTACCATTATGTGCATGTACACTGTTTAAAACAGGGAAAGGACTCTTCTCTCTTCATTTGATGTAAATGTTCCTGACAGTTACATGTTTCTATTCAGCTTCATAAATTATAGACAGTAAAAACACACCTAGAACCAATGTTTTCTTAACAATCGCTTGTTGACATTTAATTTATTTTTCTCTAGAATGAATGAAAAGCGTATTGTACTTCTCCACATTATGTTTTCTTTACAGGCTAGTTAACATACAGCTGCATGCCATTTTAAGTAATTAATGGAATGTACAAATATTATTATGTTGTTAGTAATTTGCAAATAGTATGTATTTCTGTGCAGAATTTTTTTTTTTAATTAAAGTTTTAATTGTTGTTCTTGTTTTGTTGTTTTTTAATAAGTGGCCTTGAACAACCTGATCTAGTGAAAGGTGTCCCTGCTTATGGCAAGGAGGTTGTAACTAGGGGGTTCTTTCAAACTAAGCCATTCCATGCCTCCGTGATTTTACGACTAAATTTCTCAGGTAGTTGAAAGAAACTTTCCCTCCTAATGTTGTTAACTCATTATATGAATTATATGAATATGTTTGCTGTCATCCTAAACTCAAGTACTCAAATTTTTGGAAAAATGCTGTTAAGACTGTACTACAACACTGAGTAGGATTAATGTAATTACAAATGCAGCATGTGAAGTAACACAAAGTTACATTCTTTGCATTAACTTTAGTTCACAGGAGCAAATAATATTAGCACTTAATTTATTCACTGGGGAATATTCATCTTCAGAAGTAAGCAGTCTGAATGTCAGATAATGACTTCAGTGATACAGGTAAGATAAAAAGCAAGCATGTAGACTAAGGTGTAAAATCTTCACACAATTAGTTGCTGCAAGTTTACTAAATGGTCACTGCCTTTTTTTTTTGCTTCCCCCGTCCCGCCCCCCTTTTTTTGGCAAGCCAGCCAGAGATAACCATTTTTTACCCTCACTCCAAATATCTAGCATAAATTGTTAACAAGAGTGTCATGACATGAAGTAATACTACCACTTTTTTTTTCTAAGTTAAAAAATTGCACAGTCTGTACTATATTAATGTGCTTTAGACTGTATAGGGATCGGATATGAATCTTATGGCATACATTTTGAAACATACTTGCTAAAAAATAGTTCTCTTTGAAGGAAAAGTATATAAGATGTAACCCTAGTATTTTCATTTGAACGTTATGGTCAGTTTCTGATTGTTCAAAGCACTTGAGATTCTGAATAATTTAGTTATTATTAAATACGGATAGTGGATAATATGTAATTTAGACTACAAAATGTAAGAATAAAAGATACAATAAAATAGTAATGGAGATCAGTGATGGATAACTCTGCTAAATTAGTTTTCTATCCCAGAATTGCTGTATAAAGGGTATAAGAACAAACAAAAGCTGATTTTTTAAAGATGGTTAGTTACTGTACGTTGTCGTTGTAAGAAATCTGAAACCTGGAGAAAGAGGTTCCTTTGGTACTTTCCTCTGGATACACATCACCATACATAAACTTCAGAAAGGAAGAAGGTACCATTCCTACTATAACCTCCCGAACTTCCTAGAACTTCTTTAAAATTATTTGCAGATTCAGCGAAGGCCAATATGAAGTACTTTTAGAGAAAAAAATAAAAACATTCAAGCAAGCATTTTTTTTTTTTTTTAATTTTTTTTTTAAAGATTTAAAGGTGAGCCAATATAGCTTCATGACCAGCAAGTGAATGTGGACATTCATCCACTTGCAAAGGACGGTCGTTAAAAATTGGCCTAAAGGTCTGTTGTGTTCAGCACAAGCTGAAAGCCACGCTTGCATGGATTAAAGAAATGTGAGAACATCATATCATGCTTAAAATGCCTTACCACTCCCTTTTTAATGAACTTGCCAGTAAAAAGAAGATTTAAAAGAGATTATTATCTAAATCACATATTTTAAAAAAGCTCTTCGGCTTAGGCCTCTATGAGCTGCTCCTTCAAAACAATGGAGAAATTTCTATTCCTCGGATAGTGAAGCGCTAACAATCTCAGCCAACACATTCAATGGATACACATAAACTAATAGGTTAAACATGCCTGGGACTGTTGTCTGGTATTAAGGCTACTAACTGCATAATGTCTCATGCCTACATTATTAAACTCCTAATGATTCAAAATAATATAGTCACATGCATCTACTGCCCATTGGTGATGGTTCCTGACTCACACAAACTTCCAAATTGTGCCAAGAATTGTCTGGGAGAGTGCTGGGAAGCTAATATGCTTTTAGCCTGTGCCAAAGTCTGTTCAAACGCTCACATACAATTTTTAGACAAATTATTTCCAGAGTTTCTGAATATTTTGTGGCAGTTTCATTTACATAACATTTTAGAGACAGAGCTAATACAGTCTCTTTGGAGTGACGAACCTGAATACAGGCAAGTAACTGTGGTCCCCCACCTATCGATAAATCACCTTCATATTTCCAATTAATTCCTAATTGAAACAATCATCCAATGTTTTATCAGCAAAACGTCGTAAAGGAAAGTTGATTGGAATTTGACAATCATGTTAGATACTATTTCATGCGAAGATGTCTTAAACAGTCCTGTATGGTGGCTAAAAAGCCTTCTAAGCTGAAGCACATCCCTTTTTCAGATATCTTGCACCTTTTAGTAAGGGATATCACAGAAAGCACAAACTGTGCAATAAAGTAAAAGAATTTCTGCATTTCTTTAAATTGTGGATGTTAACATCAATTTGAAATGAAAAATAACTTATAAAATGTAATTGTTGTTTTTAAGTGAAACACAGAAAAGGAATACAGATAAATAAAGCATCACTGGGTATTTTCTGAATTCTGACTATTCCTCTTATGAATTTTTTTTTCAAGACAGGAAAAAAAAAAAAAGAAAAAAAAAAGAAAGAAAAAAAGATGACTCAATTTTGTAACTGGACATATACAAGCAACTTGATTCCCAGTGTAGCCACAGGGACAAACATTGGTTCATCTGCTCTGTAACCACTTCAAAAGACATGTGGGTGCTCCATTAGTGGCCCAGAAAGCAGTATTAGTTTGTCACAGATTTAATTTCTTGCAGACTTCCAACATCGTATATTCTAAAGCGGAAAGCCTTTGTTTAGTATTTGTTTCAATTTTTTATAGATGGTCCTGAAAGCTGAATTAATGACTTGGACAAGCTGCCTAGACTTTTACCTACAATAAATGCCTCTGCCTAAGTGATGCAACTCTGCTGCAGGAAAAAAAAAAAAAAAAAAGAAGAAAAAAAAAAAAGAAAAAAAAAGAAAACTGTGTGAAGAATGTATTTTTTAGAAATGGTTAACATGAAAATTTCAAATACACATAGCTTAAAATTCTAGTAACAATAATCTAGTTATGGAAAAAAAATACACTTTTTTTGCATAAGGATGTACTTAAATTCCAATTTTCAATGTAAATAATTTTGCTTTTGTCCTCCCACTGCTTTAAAATATCTACAAGACTTCCTTTAAGTTTCCTAAACATCATTCATATCCTTATAGGTAAGAACAGAATAGAAAATCTTGGCATAAGAGATACATGTTACAAGAAATAAGAAGATGAGCATGTGTGGTTATCTTAAAGGTTACAGATAAGTGTAAATTGTTTACAAATCTTAACTACAGTGAAAGAGCATCAGTATGTACAGCATTGTTAATTATGTTAATTTATAGTTTTAAGTTACTATTGAACATTTTGAAAACTTGTCTACTTCCTCAGCTGAATTCCTCATAAAGATTCTGTGTAAGTAGCAATCCTGTGTAAGTAGTGTACTTATATAAAAAAGACAATCTGGCCATTCTAAGGGGGTGTAAAATATATCCTTTTGCTTGGGTATTTCCATATAGACTTTAATCCATTAAGATACTTGTTATCCTAATACTATTATTAGATAAAACATATTACAGCTAATGGTCACAGATAGTGCTTTTTAAAATCAGTATTAGAAGCAGTTAAACTTTCACAAACAAGAATAGCCTCCACCAAAACATTGGTATATGTCACCATACAGAATAAGGACATGTACAGGTGGCATGTTTTGTTGAATATTAATTTGAGGATATGCACATGTGAGAAAAAAAGATGTAAAACAGATTCAGACACAGAACCTTACACCATGATCAAACACCAAGAGTGTAGCTCTGAGTAAATGGAGAGAGATTCAAGATGACTGTCAACCAAAAACAACTTGAGATTTTGAGAAAAATTCTCCATCAGTTCTTGAGGACAGGAGCATAGGTACAATCTGTGTAAACAGTATGCAGCAAAATATCTGATGCCACCATATATTTCATCTGACAATCAACTAATCAAAGACTGTACCAACAGACTTCCAGCTTTAATCACAGCTGACTTCTAAACAGATCCTAAATTATAGTAGCCTGTCAGCATTCAAAATAAGAATTTTCCCAACAAGAAAACATATACACACGCCCCATAAAAAAAACTTGCTGTATTTTCATCCACTAGATATTTTCCTGAAGTTACTAACTACTTTCTGTGGTTCAGTAATTGCTTCCCTTCGTTTCCAGAATGAAGTCAATCCTTTGCTTTACTTCAGGATACTCCAGTGACCATTCTCTTCTGGTCAAAGTGCTGGTTTCTCCTGTATTTCCTTACACGATGCTTATCTTTTCCTTGCCATCAGACTGTATTATCCCAAACATATTGGAGTGTTTCCTCTCTCTAGCTCCCAAGAACAGAGGCAACATATAAAAGCCTTTATTCACCTTCTTTCTCTATTTCAACTTTTTTCAACTTATTTGCAAAAATAATCCAAAATCTAGATTGCTCCTTATTTCTCTTAGGGAATCCACTGGCTTAAGACAGATTATTTTTTTTCTGTAAGTAATCATCTTACTGCTTTTACTTGTTCTGCTAGTTATGTTTGTGGTCTAGTTAAGTACCCATACAGACAAAAGAATAGTGTACCCTTTGAGTTCATTTCGGTGGATATGCCACTTTGATTCCATTTTGCCTTGCAGATTTTATACAGAAAATAATATGTTAAAATAATGTTTGGATTAAAATATCAGTTAAATAAGGGATAATCTTTTGTAAAGAGATTAAATGTAAAACTTACATTAGAAAAATAATATTTAAAGTATAGCATAGCATAAAAAGTACTTACATGAAAACAATCAGAAAAATTGATACAAATGTGTATTTAAAAATATGGTCTTTCTATTTACAATTTTTTTCACACCTTTAAGTTACAGAATCCTCATTTAAATTACTCAGTGTAAATGTTTCATTTTTTTTTTTATTTAAAATGTAAATGTTGTGCTATGTTTACAGTTTTCTGTGATGATCTTAACATGTACTTATACTACAGAAACATCTGTGTCTCTATGGAATCTTCAGAAGTACTCGAGTTGATTGTACAGACTAGAGGCATATTAAATAGAGACATACTGGATAATTTTGGTCACTTTATTTCCTAAATCTTTTCATTTATACCACGTAGAACTTGAAAAGATAAGAAACCCTATTCCTATATTGTTGATAATTAACCCAAGAACATAATATGAGTTAAAGGAGATGTGCCATATAAGCATTTTATGGTCTACCCCTCAGGCTTTTGTTTCATTATTGGAAGTAATGATGAACTTCTAGAATGTGAATTTAGTATAAAACTGCAAAATTCATCAAACTTTCAAGACCTAACAATCCAATTATCCTTAGCAGTTACTTATATTTTTTCTTGTGTATGTGTGTGTGTTTCTCAGTTCTTATTTAATAATCTTCCCTCCCAAAACTAATAACAAATGTGTACATTTAAATGAAGGTTTTTCTTACCAGGCCTCTACCAGTTTTGCCCTCTTCTAAAAGCAGTTCAGAGATGTCTACGTGAGACTTCTGTATGGATGGGGCTCTTCGCATGTAATAGATATAATTTGTCCAGTTCCCCAAAATGTCACTGAAAATGCTACATACTGATGCCAAAATGCCTGAAATAGAAAATTTCACATGTAATTTAAGGGAAGTTACAGAGCAGTAATAATCTGGTAATAGAAATAAAATTACATAGCTAGGTAGCTATAGAATAATAGCTGGTTCCTGGTTTTAGGAATGTTTTCTTCTCATTGGCAAAGATTTAAAGGCTGGGTTCTTGCAGCTCAATATGTGCCAAGGAAAAGATTACTGTACAATTAATCTAATACATTTTCATCAGTATATACACTTGACTTTGATTACAAAAATATACTGCAGCCTTTTTCTTAATTAAATTCTATTCTTGGTTGCGTGTTAATTAAGAGCTCAAGAAAGGTTCTGAATTGCCAGTGTAGCAGACTGAAATCCATTTATCCATAAAGGCAAACAGAGCAAGAACAATGATTAATGCAGACTTCCCCGTGCTGCTTTGCTGTTATGCCCCAAAGGGACCGCCGTTACAGTTATAATGCACTCCAATCCCTTGTATGTGGACTCCATGCACTTAGCATGTTATGATGGCATTACTGCTTACACTACTCAGCTGGCACATAAAACTGGACAGACAAGACGTGCTCTTGTTAACCATGTAACTATGCAGAGAAAATAAAATCAAGCTAAAAAAAGAAAAGTCAGGGGGAAGGAGGAGGTGCTTCTCAAAGAGTAGATCCCTCCCATTCATCTAATTCTAGGCTCCCAGTTTGTTTATTCTGTGTGGTTTTGATTCACTTTTAAGTTTCAGAGATTCTCAGAGGAAGTGGTCTCGGCATTTTATAGCTGCCTGGGAAGCAGTGCACATCCCCATGGTCTTACAGAATCACTTTCCGTATGACGGAAACTCTCACGTTTATCACTAATAGCTGCTCTTACAGCAGCTTCACGACCATTTTAAGCGCCCTCCTCTTCTTTCCATTTATGCGCAGATCAAATGACACGGTTCCTTACTTTCTTGAGAAATTCTTATTACGGGCCTCCGAATCAAAAGCTCCACGGTAAAACCGCTTAGAAGTGAGAAGCATTTCGTGTACAGGCTGGCGTTTCAAACAGACCCCAAAGCACACCACCAGCCTTTCTAACCCATTCCGCATGTGCTCGCCCGCGCGCAGGATGCCCGGCGCAGAGCACGGCTGGGGCGCTGCCCGCGGCGGCTGGCAATGCGCGGCTGCTCCCGCCGCTCGGAGCGGCAGCCGGTCTGGTGACTCCCATTCAGCTTCAGGACTCCACAAAGCCCAGCCTGTTTGTTACACTGCTGCCGCTGAACAGCTGGCGGCTCAATACACCACGTTACCGTATTTTCACCACAGAAAGCCGCGGGGCTGCTGGCAGAGAGGCACCCCGGGATGCCCCGTGGTGGCCGCTGCCGCCCTTTTGTCACTTCAAGCCCCGCTCCCACCACCGCACCCCTGCCCTCCCTTTCTCCTCTCCTCCGGGTGCCACTCAGGTAACCGGGCCGGTTACGAGAAGCGGGTAAGGAGGGAAGCTTTGTCGATGCTGGAGGAAGACATCAAAGCCGATCTAAAAGCTCCTAAAACGCCCTGCCAGCCCCAAACACGCTACCGAGTACCGCCGCGCCGACTCCCTCAAACCGGGCTGCGACACGGCGCGGCGGCGGAGCGGGACGTGCCCACGCACTGGAAAGCAGAGAGGAGCCCTGAGAATTTCACTTCAGTGTCACAGGTTTCAGTTCACAGATCTCCTCCTCGTGATTTATATTGCCCATTTTCCCCTCTCCTATTGAAATTTTACGCTGAATTTTACATTAAATAACAAAGAATGTGGAAGCAGGATCCCCCCCTGCGCGGGTAATGGAACAACCCGATGGGTTCTTCCGCGCCGACGCTGCACCTTAACTCCTTCTTTGCCAAATCAACCGCCTTGTGTGAAGGTTTAATTCTTCCAAAGAAATATTCCGAATCTTGCCTCCGTCATACTTCAGCGCCTCAGAGAGGTTGTAAGAGCCCTGTCCCGTGGACAGGGTGCAGTGCGGGAGATGACTGTGCGCTCTTCAGATGGATTTGAATGCCACCAGATAAAGACACGCGCTGCGTTTTCTTCTCACAAGCTTTTGCAGAAATAAGCACCGATGTTTAAATACGGGGTGGCTAGGCAGATTTTTAATTTTTTTTTTCACATGTTGTGGGGTAAATTTCCATAGACTCTACTTGGTGTCCACCTTTCACCCTTAGTGATTCCCCTCACCAGAGGACACATGAAAGACTCCTCTCAGGTGGGCTCACCCACTCATCTTCTAGAAACATTTTGCCTCTTGATACATAGCTGGAGAAGTGGAGATGTCCCAGCCTGGGACCTGTGCTGCAGTTCTCAATTTAAGCAGCTGAATGTCCATGGTAAGGTGGTGCAGATTTTTATATATTATATTGTCTTTTGCAATGACCGTTTCTGAGGAATTACAAAAAATTATACTAAACACACATTTTAAAGTAATGCATTGTGAGAGGTCGCTTATATCAGATTTCTGTTTCTTCAGCGATTTTTCCATTTCTCTATTCTGCTTCCCCTCAAGAGTCAATTCAATTCTTCAAACAGCTTCAACTATACCAAATAAAGCATCTGAAAAACCTATTGACTCCTTTCCTGCCCTCAGTCTCTTCAGTTTCTTGGCTATATTCAATACTAGAAGCCCCATCTCCACTCCCCAGCCTCTCCTCTAGGGGCCTGAGCACCATCTCTCTCTTGTATTTTCCCTGATTTTAATGATTGCAATTCAGTGTTTCACTCTTGCTATTTTCCTTCTCTGACATCTTTTTTTCTGGATCAGAGTTTCTTAAGTAGAACACTCTATTTTCCATTTCATTACCTAATTCCTACATGATACTATTCTCAATCATATTGTGTTTTATGTCATAAAACACAAAAAAAAAAAAAAAAAGGCAAATAGCTTGAAGTAAGTGAAAAAGAAAATTTTACATTTACTCCAGGTTATTAAGTTTATTAGGCACGTCTTGGCAGTGGTGAACATGCAAAAAGAGGTTCTGGTAAAGGAACTTCTGCAAGTCCATGTCTCCGACACTCTATGGGAGAACTTTTTCCAGAAGTTTCCAGAGCTATATCAGTGAAACTATATATTGCAGCTCCCAGAGTGCATAAGGCCGAGCAGGGTTAGTTACTTGTACTGCTGTCTGACACTTCATGAATACTTCATCTTATTTCCTATAACAAACTAAGCATTAGAATATTTAAATTTACTACAGCTTTTTTACTTTGCACATTTGGTTTATATTTTACTATTTGGCCTAGTATTCTAATCTAGAAAGCACACATGGTACACAACAGCAACCACAGCCCTTAATAGTAAAAAAAAAAGAAGGAAACAATTTTGCTGAATAACTTCAATAAATTGCAAGACTTTGATTAATGCAGTGCATATGAGAAATGTCTGCTTTTGCTTAGAAAACCTGTGCAAGTTTCTTTAAAAAGTGCAATCAAGAGTGTTGTATTCACTCACAATTTCACTGTTTGTGTCTGTTCAGTCAAATTTTGGCCTTTTCCTTTCCGTATGAAGAAGACTTAGGAGCACTGGGAACTCCTGAGGTTGTGAAGTTATGGCCAATTCTGTTGCACTCCCAATCTCCCTCCCTCCCCCAGTGAGACTCCAGAGAGGACCTCTTCTCTCTCCTATTACAGCCTCACAGATGTTGTGATCCACAGTCTATTTTTCTTTCTTATTCTGGATTCAGTCTGAAAAGAACAGACATAAATTCCCTGTAGCAGGCAACTTGATGTCTTTTTTATTGCTATTTCAGGGATAGCTATTTCAGGGTCTCTATACCAGTGCTTAAAACCAAATATCCCTCGCAGTATCTGTCAGCTTCTGTCTTGTTCTCACATCAAGAAATCCAGTATTAGAATTGTATTTGCATAAATAAGAAATTTATTTAGATATGGAAATACGTATGTCTACAAGAGGATAGAAGTCTACCTTATTAAGAGCCAAGGAAGAAATAACATGCTTTAGTAGTTCAGTTCTGGTCTGGAAAATACCTGAAAATACCCTAGCCACAGTAAATTTTTCTGAATTACCACATCCCTTTAATGTCCCTGAAAGTATCAGTAAAACTTTTAAATTTTAGCTCTATTTGATGTAAAATTTATCCTGCAAATCATTTCCCCCCCCTTTCATTACTTTGATAGGGCTATTGTTTTACAGTTGTAATAAGAGGTTTTTTGATTTTTTTTTTTTTTTTTTCCGGAAAGAACGTGTTTTTCCACAGTGTTTGTCTTTTTTTTCAGGGTTTGAGAAAATTATATCCAATTGTTTGGTTTTCCTAAAATAATCATGTTTGCATTCAATGCTATTCACAGGAGCAGAATCAACAGAAAGCAGCCACCCTGACTGCTGGTCCACAGCCACTGCTCTGTTCTCAATGCTTCATGTTTCCTTCCCACTAGATGGTGATGTTGGAAAAGCTCTGGCTCCCACTCTTGAAGGACAGCGGCTTGGTTTCCTATGAGCTAGAAGAAACAATACATTCCTCTTTCATAGTCTTTTAGACATATGTGAGCAATTGAAAATACTCTTCAACAGAGTTTTTCTCCTGTTTCGTAGACAGTGCAGTGTATGGTATGATTAGGAAGAAAGCTGAACTTAGGAGAGTTTGAATCTGAATTATTCACGTGTAAATATACTTGGTGATACTAATGAGCAAAAATTATAACAACAAATAGGAAGAATATTTTGGAAAATTATTTTAGAAAATTATCTAGAAAGCTGTTTTAGAAATGTGACGTTCTGAGCTGCCTCAGTCAACACCTTTTGTCTAACTGAGAAGAATGATTTCTTCCCATACATAGCCATCATATAGCACGAATGACTGTGAAAGGCTTCGGTGGTAATTGGAAAGAATAGTGGCTGGAACTACTTGAGTTTCAGGGACTTTGACACACAAAGACTGAAGCAGAAACTGAAGCTGTGAACACATTTAGAAGAACAGGGGTTTGTGACAAGGAATACAAGGTATATCACTAGGCCACTGGGGGTTACATAGTTGTGCAAAAGTAACAGTATATACTGAAAATAACTGGTAATGATTCAAAACCTTACACTTCTTACATGTGGAACATTTTTCTCTTCAATGTAGAAGGCTTAAAAACTCATTCACTTTAAAGGTTTGAAAGTGTGGGTTGCATACAAAAGGTTTACTTCACAGCTCTCCCTCCCTACTAGTTTTCCTACTTCCTCATTCTCTGCATGTTATTTAAGTGCTTATTCTCAGGCTTGGTACATCTAAAAGGGTGAGGGTAATCCGAGTTGCAGCCTACTCTCAGGAAAGTATAAAATAGGGTATATTAAAACATTGAACTGTAAGATGAGAATGGAAAGTTTAGGGGGGTTTTCTGGAGGGGAGGGTGTGGAGGAATGGCTACGTGACAAAGGGCACATAAGCAGGGTACCGCTCACTGATCACGAGCTGGAGGGTTACAGAACCTAGCTTGTCTAAATTGTTAATGTACCAAGGACGCAGGACATGGTGGATACAAAGAAACAGAAGCAATATCTAAGGAATGAAGAACAGGCATAAGATGGGAGGGATTGGCATTCAGCGTTAAGCACCAATGATGAGCTCGCTTTTGCACTATGTATGAGGATTATTAAGACCTGTATAAAAGAGAATCTTTGGTAATCAATAAACGTGACTTGCTGACCATGATAGCATGAGGCTTGTCTCCCGCGGCTCCTTTCAACAAATGGTGACCCCGACGTGACACAAGGGCGGCCAAGGATAAAGGAGCCCCGTTGGGTTCGGGTCCTGCGGCAACCCAGGACGACCATAAAAGCAAGGTGCTTCGCGTCCTGAGTGACCACATCGGTGGGCTCAGCCGATACGTGCTGCCGAAGCCTGGAGGGTTGCAACAGCGCGCGCTGAAAAATAGAGGTAATGGATAGGCAAGCAGCATATGATTTATTTTCCCTTTTCCTACGTCGCAGACAGGTCAAGGGTATAGATTTAGATAAGGAACTCCCTCAACTGTTACAACATGCCGTCTCTTGCGGGTTTTTCACTAATCCACATACTGTGCATGAGTTAGGAGAATGGAGGAGGTACGGGGATAAGTTATGGGAATTGGTT